AGGTTTAGTTCACCCGTTTCGCCGCTAGATGGACGCCAATTTTTTAGTTCATAACTGCACTATTTGTAACGGTTTGTTACTGTACATGGGGTCAAAGTTCAAAATTGACCGTTAATTTCCAGGAGTGTATTTCAGCCCAGAGTGAAATTTTTTCACCCCTTAAACCTGGATGGTTCAAGTTGGTCTCGATATGTCCAAGAATATTTTTTGAACAGGGATATATGTATAAAACTGTATATTTATCCGGAAATAGTGTTTTTAAAATGTATGTATCGAATATCAAACGGTGGGTGTTTTGCAGTATTCCCAATAACGAAAATTCCAAGCGCGAGCAAATTCACTTTTTACATTGAAGTCAATGAGGATCAGTTTTTTCGGTGACTATTCCTCCGTGGTACGTCCGATTTAAAATTTTTTTTTCTATGCCCATCTGGATGTGCGTACGCATGCGCGTGCAAAATTTGATGAGAATTGGTTGAGTGGTACAAAAGAAAAATGCGGACAAAGAAGTTGCAAAGTCGAGTATAAGAGTACTCGATATTGTTAGTTTACAAAATCAGTTACTTTGTAAAACAAATAATTACAATATTTTAGTGCGCAGTGCAAAATGTTAATAATATTCTGTTATCGAACAATTAGAAATTTAGCAATTATGATATTTTATTAAAGTTTCTACACCGAAAATATTTTTATTTGTCAACGTTTTTCGTCCTTCAACTATTCGCGCGAAAAATGACAGCTTTCACTGGTTTGACACGCTTTCCCTGCCATCGACAATTACACGTAAAGTCTTTTGGCATAGAGACGGTGTTAATCAATTTATGCTTCTTCTGTATCCTATCACTTTCACTCTTCGTAGCTATAAATAACTATAAAACGAATATCTACGATTTGTTTCAACGTCTGTAGATCGTAACTATATTTTTTAAGCACATGCTCCATTAAATGTTCTTATTCGATAGTTCTTTCGAAAAGAAACTTTCTGACATTGTTATTCTTAGCTTTAAACTGTTTTATTTTAGTACCGAAGCACTAGCTCGTAGTATCCACATAATATACAGGACGAAGGAATGACGACAAGTTATGTCACTCGGCTTTTTCATGCTTTTGTACTTTGTACAATTTCGTTAAGTCCGAGATGGTGGTTTTCCTGTGGTCCAATTTTGGGGGTCGACCTATCCTCAGCGTAGTTTGATTTTTCACGGACAGTGACAAATTTTCATCGACGTCTTCCAACGATGCCTCGTCTTCGGACGATTTCATCGCTTCTTTGCTCCATTTGGTTAACCATTCGTTAGCTGCACTCTGGAGAAAAACATTGTCACTTTTCAAATCCCGACCGATGGAACGTAGCATAAGTAACAAAGATGAAGAATCAATTAAAATTGAAATTTAACCTTCTTGTCGTTGTTTTCGGTAGTGTTCACTTCTTTCAACTTCTCCTCCACCTTTTTCAATCGTTCCAATTCTCTCTGCAATTTCCGTTCCATTTGATACTTTGCAACTGCTTGAGCCAAAGGACCAAGCTCTCCTCGCATCGCTGACTTCAGCATCGCCTATTTACATCATAATGTTCCATCGATTAAATAAGCTTATCGATGTTGAATTATTTGAACACAAAGAAAGATACTTACATCTCTGCGTCTCTTTGATTCGGCGTTGCCGATTGGATCGGTTTCCGTTTGCGGACCCAGCTCCAGCAGTACCTGAAAATCCGCGTGTTGCCCTAACCGGAAACCGACGCCGATCCTCGAATCGGTACCTGTCGCAGCGAACGCGGCAATAAAACAAAGATTAAAGAGAAGCGTGAGTACGTCAGTGAAAGTGGTTTCGTGTAACACGCGATGAACCGTTTGTTAGCAACCGCACACGATATTTCATGATTTTTTCAAAGCGTGACACTTTTTCATGACGCAATCGTATTACCTTTCTTGATCGGAGGAATATTCGAGTAGATCAACGAGAGTATCGTGGGCAGCTCTTCCGGTATAATGAGACTCGTCGCATCTGAAACGATTGAGGTTCATTCATTTATTTCTCAACGAATAAATACTTTCTCTGTCAACCGACTATTCACCTATATGACGACTGAGACCCAAAACGAAGATAAAGTTATTCGTTTTCATTCGTTAACTTTTTTCAATTTTATGTTCAGTTTTAAGGTTGAACTTGAAGGAAACAAATTGAATGGGGACAGCATAGCGCTTGAAACCTACCAACGGTGCAAAAAGGGGAATTTTTTAAGCTATTCTTATGTAAGCAGTTGATTTTACATGGAAATCGCTTCTGTTGGATGTCCGATTGAACTATGATCATGGATCGTTGCAACATCAAAACTAGGCGAAGGTTGAACCTTGCGCGCGCGCGTGTCTGTAAAATATTACTTACGGTCATAAAGAAGCAGTAAGATGCACAGTTTCAATAGGACGACCTTCGTGCTCGACATCTTTTCGTCAAAGAGATCTTGACTACGTTTCTTCCTCGCTCAACTGTGCAATTGTCGCATGGTTCCCTTCTGGCGAATTTGCTGCGGTTAAAATTGTTCTTTGGACGCGTAGCACAAGTTGGGTACATAATTAAATCTTTACTCGTTTCATTTTTCAGCTTTCATTTTCATATGGCAACGTGCCGCATGCATATTAGATAGTTGGACAGTTATCGAGACGGATCGGTATTATTCGTTTCTTCTGACAACCTTCATTTTTAATGTTTTCATTAGTCAATGCAAGATAGTTTTACTAAAATTTACAAGTCAATAGTAATTAATTTCGTATTGCTCGAACGAGAAAGTAGAAGGTAGTATTAAAGATATCGGAGCATACTTAGCAACTCCGCTTCAATATTTCGAATCGTTTCGAATATCGTTAAAAATGAAAGTTTCGAATTTAAATAATAAGTCAAAAATAAGTATGCATTCAATAGGAACACGCTGTGTAATAGAACGTTCCAAATATTCCCTTAGTCGATATTCGTTTAATATCCGGTGGAATAATTGATAATATTCGGTCGAATTAATCGAGTTACTCACCGATATTTTTTCTGTCGCGTAGTCCCAGTTTCGATAAACGAGCGAATCCGTTGTTTGATTAGACACAACACGCGCACGGTTTGTTGTAGTTACATGAAAGTGAAATCTAAACGGCTGAGCAGTCTGGCAGGTAAGGCGGCGTCGAGCCGGCCTATTCGAAGCGGACTGAGGCCGTTCCGCGATAGAATGCAACCGCGTTACTCGACGACTACGACTACGGTAAGACGGTGCGAGAAAGAGCTGCCGAAAGAACTTCTCCAAGTGAAAGGAGACGTTGGATCGGGGATCGAGGTCACCGAGTCCGAACGACCGCCACTTGATCGGGGATGAACTCTCTCTCCATTTCCTTCTCGACTTCTCCTCCTCCTTTCGTACGCGCCAATTTCGGCTAACCTCCGCTTCCGCCTTCTTTTCCCGCAATTTTCTTTTCGGACGAAAAATGCCTCGCTTTTCTCATTTTCGCTGATACATTATCAATTATATTTTTCATAGGGGTTAAGGTATGTATGAACTTTTGATTCGTGAAAGACTTCTTTTTGTTATTCGTAATGTTTCTTCAGAAATCAATGTCTGGATATATCCGTACGACTTGCTGTAGTAAAATAACGAAAAAGATATTCTTTGAAGTTTCTTATCTTTCTGGAAGACGAAGGTTAAAACAATGCCGGTGTAAGCATCAGGGAAAGTTCATAGTACTCGCTGCTTGGAAAGACCTTGAACAGCTGTTTCGCGTTGCGTGAAATTACGCAAAACGTTGTACGCACAGCAGTGATTTCTGCATCGTTCAAAATATTTAAGAATATGTATCATAAATAAAAATTATCAGGAAAATAAAGGAAAGTTAAGTGGCCATGAAACGATTAGGATCACTGGAAGAGCCACCCGGAAACGAGGGGAAATTACGTGCCTGCTCGATTGAACAGCAAAAGTGAAATTGCGCTGGTAATCAGTATTATTTTCATGCCAAGTAACGAGTCAATTGCTGCACCTGTGTATGCACTTGTCTTATTCTAAATTGACTCAAACAAATGATGATCGCAGAGTTGCGAGCTCAGAATGAAATATGGAGAAGTTGCCCGCAGGCAATACTTAAGCGTCTACTACTACTAAACAGATGATCGTACATTTACGTGGTACGTGATCTTTCCCGAAATTATAAAGAATACGAACACTGCAAGAGTTCTATAATTCCATTATAAGTGGTACCTATCAGATAACACGTTGTAACTTACTTTTAATAATAACTTTCACGAATTTCCACCTAATAGAAACTTTCCTAAACAGCTTAAAGTAATGAAATTTTAAGCACTCGTAAAATAACATTGCGTGTCTGGAATAGTTTAGCGAGTCCGAGTTCTATTATAATGCGAGTATAATAAAGCTTTTAGTTTTGTCTCGCCGAGGGTATTTTCGAAAGAAACGGGGTTCCCTCTTAAAAAGAATTTTGACTCTCTTAACGCATACACGATCATTAAATTACCATGAAAATGTTACGTCATTAGGTGTCCAAGATGCTATCTATTCTCACGCACGCTAATGGTTAACAGTTCCTTCTTGTTCCACCGTGAAAGTCACGGTAAAAGAATCCCTGGTACAGGTATAGGAGCGTTGCGAGACTACGCATACGGGTCTCCATTTCACTATTTTTGAACGAAATATACCGATCTCCTGACACATTGTGCAACTACGTTACGTAAATTTGTCGATACTACGTTCTCGAGTCGAGTCTAAAGATACATTTTTTTTAAAGCGAAACTATAGAAGCGTCAAAGTATTACTTGATTTCAGAATTTGGACCGTAACTAGGTCGATAGGCAAAAGTGCATAGGTAGGTATAAGCGCGTCGTCGACTTTCCGCTCGGATCGTTGATATCTGTGCAATTTCGAAGTTATTAGTTTCCACTTCGGCGCGAGTGGAACCGTGAGTCGTAAAGGTACAAAAGTTTCGAAGTAAGCAAAGTAGGAATTTCTTAATACTAACGTTTTATTGTAAAATTGTACGATGTAGGTTATGTACAGAATATAACGCATAACGTAATTACAATGAAAAATACAGACAATTGTGATGCCTATGAACAGTGTCTCAACCGTGTTGTTGATAATTCATGAACACAGCGCGTGATAAGGCAGGTGTTATCGCTTGTAACCCACAGTTTCCTCGTTCACGTGCACGCATCAAACTTCGGGTTTGTCTGCGTACAATGTTACACGATAATGTGTTTTCAAATGCTCTTAAAAACTAACTAGTTACGCAGTACGCTAGCAAACTTTTCATTTCGAATAGTTCTTAGAATTTGTGCAATGAATCGGTCGTGAAAAATTCATTCCAAATTATTACATATATCGCGTTTCATATTCCACATGTATTAAAACCGTGTTTGCAAATTATGATGACTATGGGAAAAGAAATTCATTCGCTTTGGAACATCCTATATATGCTTTTCATACATGAAAGATTAGCTCTCTATGCACATGGGTAACTTTGAGGGAAAGTATCAAATTTCTATGTTGAATACTTAGCTTTCCTTCTGATCTTTTTATATCACTACGGTTTGCACGCTGCGAAGCGGTAACTATCACAATCACATTTATTTAAACAACTACGATAACTTAAAGAATATCTTTGAAATAAAAAGTATAGTCGCGAGAAGGTACCACCTCCAGGACTGTAAACTGACCGTGAGTCTAAAATTTACAACACAACTATCGTATAACAGTAATGTAACTAAGTAAGTATACGATATTTTTTTTTAAACAAAACATTCTACACTCGATGAAACTACAGTCGAAGTTTTGTTTCAACCGATCGGAATGGAGCGAAACGTTTATATTATAATTATACGACTGTTTTTGTCTGGTTTTAGCGATTCGCAATTACAATAAGATTGCGAAGCACCGATACAGAGATGGAGTCTCATAATCGATGAAGAAGTTGTCGGTTTCTGAAAGGCGGTGTGAGCCGTTATTGCTCGAGAAGTATCCTCCTGTTGCATGGGATAATCGACGTTTAGAATGCATTAAGTCGCTAGTCGTATCGGCTTGGCGGCGGTGGCGGCGGTGGCAGTGGCGGCGGCGGAACAGGCGGAATGGTCGAAGCTGGAGAGGGGCAAACAGATAGCACGTTGCTCGTTCTTCGTGTACGATGTAGGTTATGTACAGAATATAACGCATAACGTAATTACAATGAAAAATACAGACAATTGTGATGCCTATGAACAGTGTCTCAACCGTGTTGTTGATAATTCATGAACACAGCGCGTGATAAGGCAGGTGTTATCGCTTGTAACCCACAGTTTCCTCGTTCACGTGCACGCATCAAACTTCGGGTTTGTCTGCGTACAATGTTACACGATAATGTGTTTTCAAATGCTCTTAAAAACTAACTAGTTACGCAGTACGCTAGCAAACTTTTCATTTCGAATAGTTCTTAGAATTTGTGCAATGAATCGGTCGTGAAAAATTCATTCCAAATTATTACATATATCGCGTTTCATATTCCACATGTATTAAAACCGTGTTTGCAAATTATGATGACTATGGGAAAAGAAATTCATTCGCTTTGGAACATCCTATATATGCTTTTCATACATGAAAGATTAGCTCTCTATGCACATGGGTAACTTTGAGGGAAAGTATCAAATTTCTATGTTGAATACTTAGCTTTCCTTCTGATCTTTTTATATCACTACGGTTTGCACGCTGCGAAGCGGTAACTATCACAATCACATTTATTTAAACAACTACGATAACTTAAAGAATATCTTTGAAATAAAAAGTATAGTCGCGAGAAGGTACCACCTCCAGGACTGTAAACTGACCGTGAGTCTAAAATTTACAACACAACTATCGTATAACAGTAATGTAACTAAGTAAGTATACGATATTTTTTTTTAAACAAAACATTCTACACTCGATGAAACTACAGTCGAAGTTTTGTTTCAACCGATCGGAATGGAGCGAAACGTTTATATTATAATTATACGACTGTTTTTGTCTGGTTTTAGCGATTCGCAATTACAATAAGATTGCGAAGCACCGATACAGAGATGGAGTCTCATAATCGATGAAGAAGTTGTCGGTTTCTGAAAGGCGGTGTGAGCCGTTATTGCTCGAGAAGTATCCTCCTGTTGCATGGGATAATCGACGTTTAGAATGCATTAAGTCGCTAGTCGTATCGGCTTGGCGGCGGTGGCGGCGGTGGCAGTGGCGGCGGCGGAACAGGCGGAATGGTCGAAGCTGGAGAGGGGCAAACAGATAGCACGTTGCTCGTTCTTCGTTCTATGCAGCCGTTTGTCGTGAGTTTGTCGTTAACGGAGAGTCGACGATCGTGCGCCGACTCGCTGCTTTCAGCCGCGAAGGACGCGCGCCGATCAATCGTCCTTTTGGCTCGATTTGTCACCGCGTTTATCATCAATCCTGAATGTCAGCTGGTTCCTCGTCAGCCTTAATACGCGTCATGGGACGCTTTCTTGGTCGAGTGAGTATCGTTCTTCGACGTCGCGCGATCATTCGTTGAATCGGTCTTGTTTGTTGCCGTTGAGTTAGTCGATCGGAAAGAAACTCAGTGTACAGAAGATCGTTGTGAAGAAACTCGGTGCAAAGAAGATTGTCGCGAATGAAATTGGTAGGAAGACAAATTGTTGCGACAGAAATCGGTACGAAGATACTAGGTACGAAGAAAATCGATGCGATGGAAACGAATGTAATGCGAAAGAGATTGGAACGAACGGAATTGGCATGCGAGGGATCGTCGCAACGAAACTTGATATACAGAGAACTTTGGCGAAGGAAATCGTCGCGATAGAAATCGGTGTCCTGTGAGAATTGGCGCGAAGGAAATCGGTAAAACGGAGATTGGTCTGCAGGAAATCGAGGCAAAGGAAATTAATATTCAGGGAATCTACATAGAAACATAAGAAATCGGTAGAACGAAAATCACGGAGAAATAAATCGATAAAATGGAACTAGCTATCAAAAAATATCGGCATGAAGAAAACGGTCGTGGAGGAAATCGAAATATACGGAATGCGAAGAGATTCGGAGTCGGAACGTCCGCGCGCGTAAGGGAAGAGCAAGTGACAACGAAACGACCGTTTCCGCCTTTTATATCCACGCTTGTCCAGGAAGAGAATTTTTTCTCGCGTACACTCTAATTAAACAATGACTCGAGATAAACGTAAATTCGTTCGAAATCGTCCATATGCTATTTTTCTGCCGCGAACCGTAAGTTTCCTGTAACAGGTGTTTTGTGCGGACGCTGATCGAAAAATGCCTCGACGTAGCAACCGGTAAAAAGCCAACGTGGAATCGAAGCAGGTTTCATTCGGAACGTTGATATTTTGTCCGCGCGTCCCGGCCGCTTTTTGCTAAGCGGATAGAAACGAGCGCGAAAAGCACAAGTGTTTTCTGCGCGCATTAACGTGGCTTATTTTTTCGTGCATGCATCGACTGCACGACAGATGTTACGGGACACGAGTGGACACGAGTAATTTTCTTGCTGTCCATGTGTCAAACAGCACTTTCAACAATACTGAAAATATTCCAGTAAACGAAGATCGTTAGCGATAGAAATATCGAACACGCGTTTCAGAAGTGAACAAATAAAAGTACTTATCGTTTTAGTGCAAAATAAAGGGAAAGATTTTCAATGATTCGATTAGGTTTCTCTAATTTTCAAGAGGCGTTGCATAATTAGATCGGAAACAGAAACAATAAAAATTCATTTATTTTACTCGATAACGCACAGGTTTCAACCCTCTTTCCGAATAGTTGCCTTTACGAGGACATTCCTTTTAAGCACAGTTTTATCGAACGGGTAACATAACAAATGTGCTTCGCAACGTTTTTAAAACTTGATAAGATAATGAAAGATTACATAAATTTTCATGTAATTATACCAGCACTCGGTGAAACGTGCATAGTTTCAAAATTTGTAGGATCCTGAAAAGTGTTAAAATATGGCTTAACACGTTGACTGCCACAAGGATCGCCGATAATCCCAGTAAGGAGAGTTCCTGATATTAGAAATATTAGCCTCGTAATTAGAAACGTAAAATCATTGTCTAATTCCCTCGATAATCGTTGTTATGGTATGCCATGCATATATGGCTGTTGCCACTGTGGCATTGAACGTGTTAAGAACTGGAAGACTATGACGAATCGTCGGTCATTCTCCTAGCGATTCAGCGGAATCGTTTGAACAATGGTAACCTTGATCCATACATTTGCAGTGAATGGTGTACGATGACATTTTTGGCCCATGGGGCCGTATCGTACTTATCGTATTGGCTGCGTTCGTCGTCGTCGTCGCCTTGCTCTTGATCGCTTGCTTTCTAACACCAGGATGTCTTGGCTACGAATGCATCAGGAAACGAAGTAAGCCCCATCTTTTATTTCTACCTAAATTTGCGACGGACAATTGTTTCCTCTGTACAAGCTTTCCCAGTAATCATGGTATAACGAGGAAGAATCAAATTCTTCGGAATGCATTTTACTTATATGCGACTTCGTATCTTAAGCTAGTTACATATATGAATATCTATCGATTACCCACTTTTGAAAATTTATTAGGTTAATAACTAAATTCTAAAACTTTGTTTTTTTCACTAATTTTTCATTTCTACGAAAAGTCGTGAATTTTAATGTAGCGTATTATGCTCGCAATAAGTAACCTGCGATAGACGGAGGCAACGAAATGAAATAAATATCAATATGGAATGAAAAGCACGAGTTAATGTGGTCTAGTTAAACACGTGTTTCTAATACACATAATGGGTTATCACCGAACCAGCTAGCGTGTTAATTACATGCTGTGGTTATATATGTATACTCGAAATGATTAATCATCTCGCTGTCGGTGCCGAAAATTAACTTTTACCGCGTTCACTGGCATAATGAAACAACTGTGCTCCTTTGAAAATTATATACATGAGATTAGACTTATTATCCTGTGGTTTTCGCGTTATTTATTCATTTATTTATTTGTACAATTATTATTTCGTTTCGTTATCCGCAGTCGTTAGGTTCTTGTAACTTATAGCATGGATAATGAAGTTAAAAAGCTATGTGCAATAAAAGGTTGCAATTGACATGTTCTTTTCGTAACGTATTTTATAAGAGTATTCCTGACATTGTCGAATAAAAAATCGTTATATAGAAGATCGTAACGAGGAAAATTAAAGAGTATTAAACTTTCCTTCATTTGGTAGCAATTTGTTCGCAGCGATTCCACTATTATAGCAGTAAACGTGTTCGCAAGAACGATCGTAGACGTATCGACTACTAATCGAGATGATTAGCGTCGAGTCACAATGCGTAGAATTAGTTTCTAAATATACGCGCGGAGAATGTTATTTTTTCTGACGATCTGTCGTTTTCCCAATTAACGAAAGCATCGCAATTACTACCGTCTAAACGTTCTTAAATTAGCTCGAAGACTGCAGAATATAGTCGTGGAATATTTACCGATTTTACTCACAATCTAAAGAGGATTTGCAAGATCCTTTTGTGCAGAGAAGATGGGCGTTACCACGATGATTTTATCGGAAAAGTTGTTGTACAGTTCGTTTGCAGGATGACATACGTAATTACATAACATCGTGTAGGAAACGAAGAAAACGTCTTATGCGTGTGTGCACGGATATAACTCCGCGAACAATAGCGTAATGTACCTGGCCACGTATGTGCACGATTCACGATGCAGGAATTTTAAGCTTCCTTCCTTTCATAGGAATAGCGGAATACTTTATTCCGTATTGCATCAATTATATTTCCACTATAAATAAACTGCATATCGATAATATACATATGCTCCTAATCGATTACAAATCTGATAATTTCACAAAAATATAATTTAATCATGATAGGAACGAAGTATTCGGTTTAAGACTCGATGTCGTCTACATTTTTTAATCGTATCGTTGTATTAACGTCAAAATCGAAAAAATTTCGACATTAAAATTATCGCTGACTTAAAAAGATATGTGGGACAGAGTACAATTCTGTGACCTGATTTCAAACACTGGCTATAAACTGCAGGTTAAATGCGACGAACGTGATAATGAGCAACGCGAATCTTCGTAGCGGTTGTTTACAAAATTACATAACCAAAGGTACGAATAATTGGTTGCAGAGAGAGAAGCAAAAAGTGTGCCGTTGCGTGTCAAGAGCAAAGAGAATGAAAACGTGAAGTTGAACGATGTCAGCTACAGGTCATGGAGATTGGGTAGCCTCTACGAAGACGGGAGCAACGGTAACGTGCAATTATTTCTGCAACCTATTTGCTCGTTACTTCGCGTCGCATAGAAATGTAAAAATTAAGTACTCCGGACGATTTCGATTCTCCTACATCGTACAATTTTCGACGCGAACAGGAACATTTGCTACAGCAAGTTTTTCAAAACTTACACAGGTACGACGAACGAAAACGTCTCCGTGACCGGAGGCAACTTCTGGAGTACCAGCAATGCTCGACTCGGTTGTACCGACTCTTCGTCTACTCTGGTAATTTCTGTTATTAACCCTGACACTTTCCCGTCATTAATAAAATTGTTAATAGAATTTCGTAAAACGATAGCGGAGCGCATATTTCAAGTACGTTAAATATCTTTCTAGAACTTGGTTCAAAAAGATAAACAGAAGACGGAGAAGACGCAAAGCGAATTCCCGACAGAATTGACGATAAGCTTGCAATTCCTACCACCCTGCGACGAGACTGTTACCGGGAAGTTCGTTATCGGTATCGAGGTACTAAACAATTTCCTTTCAATCTTTTTTCCTTTTGTGTCTGCATAATGACCAGAATAGAAATCGAGTTATAAATTTCTAAGGAATAAAATCTCTTTCGACGAACAAAGGTCCGTCTTCGTATACCTTTAGAAGAACATGTTATACACAGAACCCAGACCTACCGATTATTCTACAAAAATTACATAATTCTATATTACATAAGCTAACAATGGCTTTGCATCTGTTACAATGACGGATCAAGTAAGTACAGTCACTCGTGAAAATCTTCGTATACCCTATAAAAGGGTTCCTAACTTGATCGACGTAAACGATAACTTTGTGTACCGACTTTTTACAGCTAAGTTTCCCTAACGAAAATCGTAGGAAGCATAGCAAAAACGTAGGAAGATTCTCTTCCTGTTTGCGTCTCTTTTAATTCTTGCTAGGAAAGTTTAACCGCTAAAGTGTAGATACATAAATATGTATGTCGTTGCACGAAGATATTATTTAATTTCAGCAACCTTTTTACGGGATTTACGAAGAGTTTCGTGAGCAACTATACACGTATAGGTAAAGAGAACGTGTGTTACTTTGAAGCAAGCAAGCACAGTTGCGTAAATAACAATGACGCTCGTTATGCTTCTACGTAAATCTATTTATTTGGTATTGTACAGGCTCTGTCTGGTCTTCCTCCCAAGCAATACAATTGCACCCTGGAGCCATACGTGGCCCTCAACATCGTGAAGCAATCTTGGAGTCACCGGAAACGGCAGAAGTTGCATAGCTTTCGAACGAGGAGCGTCAGACACACGGCCAACCCTATCTTCAAAGAGACGTTCGTCGTGGCTAACGTGAAAACGCACGAAATTAAGGTAGACACAGTTTTTTTATCTACATAGTCCACGCGGTATAAAGAGTTTTGTTTAATTCAAGGTTGAGAAACGCGTCACTCGTTAGTTGGAGCGCAACCGCGATAAAGTACGCTCGTAACGTTACGAAAAGTATACCGTGTTTAAGTTTACGCTCGAGTCAAAATTAATATAATTCCGTCCGACACTTCGCATTATAAAATGAAGGATCGTACAATTCTAGCGCGTAGCACATATGCAATGTAAATTTGTTTTGCGTAAGAGAGACTGTATGTTTCGTAATTTCGCGAGAGAAATAAGTACTTAGAATGTTGTAAAATTAATATGCTTGATTTTTTACTGCCTCTTTGAATTTTTATTCCTACATGTATAAAACAGGTCACCGATATAGTTACAGAAAATTAGATTTTTTAATTCTAAGCGATCTTCACGGTAAACGCGTTATAGAGCGCTTCATGATCCTTGAAAATACTAGGAACAGATAAAAATAGATTTCAATATTGCTTTTTGTATGCAGCGCAATCAAGGTGGATTTAAAAGATTCCATCTCGCTGTATTAGCGGGAAATCGCGTAATTTACCGTGCTTAATTCGATCGTCCTTTCTCGTAGGAATGGATCCTTGATTTCGCGGCGTACGATCACGACAAATATGCCAACGATACGGAGTTATGCTCGTTCAAAGTGTCCATGAAGGAGATGAAGCATGTTTTACAGAGTCCGGAGATCCATATGTTCAACTTCAGAATGAAGCCGTCCAATTTGGTACTGTCATCAAATTTCGACAAAACTTTTGCCTTTCTTTTATATCGGAAACACCAGATACAAGATTCGACTGATTTTCCAGGAATTCGGAAATATTTTATTAGGCGTGAGTTACTTACCCACAGCCCAGAGACTGACAATAAACGTAATGAAGGTGCGTGACGTCAAGTTCGCGCCAGCGGTGTCGAGTTTAAGCAACTTTAGTAAGCGCTACACGTAATTCATTGAAACAGTTCCTGTCGGCAACAGCTGCGTTTGGATTAATTTTCTATCGGTGGTATATTATTTTTAGATCCTTATGTGAAGATATTGATGTTAAACGGAAGGACAGGGCAGCGAATAAAAAAGAAAAAAACGAAATTCGTTCGCGCCAATTTGCAGCCAGAATTCAACGAAACCCTGACGTTTGACGTGTCTTACAATCAACTGGATATCGTGCAATTCCTCGTAGTGCTGTGTAGCAAAGTATATAAGAATGATTTCCAATTACAGCATTCTTTAAAATTAATATTTATTAAAGTAATTATTAAATATCGTAGACTGTACCTGTTGAGATCCCTGCAAACATCACGGATCAGCAAAGCGACAGCGAGGATTCTGTAACGATGAGTTACAAATCAAAAGATGTTCATATCGGTAAAGTTGCACTCGGAAAAGGAGTCAGAGGATCAACGGAAAGACTGCACTGGTTCTCCGTACTTCAAAATCCTAGAAAACTCGTCACTGTATGGCACGTGTTGAAGTAATAATTTCTAGATGATTGTTGAAAACTTTTTTTTCCTAACAAACCATCGAAACTTTACTGCGACTTAAACGATGCGCGAACACTGGTAACGGAAAATGTTGACAAATTCTACCGCTTAAAGTGTTTATTATACAGCGATAAGTTTATTCGATGAACTATTAACGCTTTGAACGTTGACTAAAATTGTATATTTGTGTTCAAATAGAAATGTTCTACCTATTAAATATATATATTATTTTTATAATATTTCACTATTCGTTCAAATATTGAACGCTCAAAGCGTTAAAAAGTATCCTCTCAAACTGTTGTTTATAATTTCAAAACAATTTGCTTCGAACGATAATGCTAGGCACCAAATTCTGTATATTTTGTATTTATAATTTAACGATACAATCATAACCAAAGATTGTGAACATTGCAAATCTTATAAATATTTATATAACTTCGTTGATGTATCAAATATTTAAAGTACAATGTACAAATCCTAACATGCTACAATTATATTTATATCCAATACTGTTTTACGTCTTGTGTAACTATATTATTAAAAAATATTACTTTTCCATCGGCAAATGGTGAAAGTTGAAAGGTTCGTTTGAATTTGGCGGGTTTCGATAGCGTAGGAAGAATTCCACGCGATCGATATTATTTGTTTCGCTTTCATAATAAATTTCGATAAGATACGCTTTAGGTTCGAGTACCATTATTAAGAATTAAATTCTGCATATTTAATAATTACATATTTAATTGATAATAACGCCGCAAAGTTCTGTTTTCGAATATGCAGGCGAAGAAAGAAGAGGAATGTACGTTTGAATTTGGCGGGTTTAAGGGACAGCGTGTAGATAAATAGCGCGTGCGACGCGAGAGGGCGACTCAGTCGAGTTGGTTCGTCTCGTAGCAACGTCGACGAGGTGCCCGGCCAGCGAGCCTCAGTCTGTTTTGTGACTTGTGCGTGTGTTGTGTTCGTTCTTGTCGTGTTCAGTTTATTCGGTTGTCCGTTTTTTCTTTCGCGGTGAGTTTAGTTGCATTACCCGAGGGAAGTGCGTAGCAGGGACGAGTGCAAGGACGCGAACATACATCGAATGGTGAGTAACCGATTCGATCCGTCAACATCCTGTACGGTTTCTCGCGAGGCAGCGAGCGTTACGCTGGAAATGTAACCTCCAAAGGCACTCGAGGTCCTTCCACGTAGAACGTCTGTTTCGTGCGTCTATTTTTCTCGAATTGTATCGCGTACGCGTGTCTGCATCGTTATCGCTGATTTCGCGACAATCGCGCACGATCAGCCGGTCGAGTGAATCGTCCTCGATAAGTGTTTGAAAAGAACAAGGCATCGGAACCGCTTCTCGCGCTAATGTCAACCGTTTTTGAATATCGTCCAATAGCAACGCTCGGATCCTTCGTTCCCGATGTTTGAGAACCAACGGCCGATATAACAAGGGGCCGACGGTTATCCGGAAATTGCAAAGGGCACCGTGTTAAAATACGATTTTGGACAAATTATTATTTATACGTAAGTTGTTAAAGATTTTATAGTACTCTTCTATAGCTTAAACGATAAATTAACCGGTAATCACGAGAAAAAAAATCTATTCATATTCGAGGCCGGAGTTGTTTTTTTCATATTAAATGAAGAAAACAGCGCTGGCTGCATCTGTTTTTGTATCTTTCTTGGCAAATACGCCAAGGAATTAATACTATCGATATGAATTTAAATCGATCGATCATTTATAAAATCTGTCACAGCTTTGTCAATTTCAAATCTGTACTATGAAATTTGGACGATATAAGTAGAAACGAAGAAGAAATCTAAATTATCCGTTTTACGCAAAAGGACTTTAATATCCTAAGGACATTGTTACATCCAACAGGACGTATTCGAATCTTTCGCGATTGAAACGAATAGAACATGTACATTCTGCATTCGCGTGTAAATATTTCGTCGTAGTTTTTTCACGTACGTTCGAAATTCGATATTCGATATTTCCCATTCACGTGCCACGCTGTCAGGTAGAGGAAAACAAAAGAAGAACATCTCGACTACCTGGCTGTCGGGTCGATTTCCAATGGAGAACCGAGTTTTTGACCTGCTCGTCCGTTGGCCACGCCATCCTTTGCTCCTTTGATCGTGGGTAAAGCGAATTTAGTGGACCTTGGCCTTAACCTTTGTGTCCGCGTAATCCCTTTGAAACCGTTCTTCGCTAACCACTTCCCGCCATATCGTACCGTGGATTCTCTCCGTGTCGAATACAGCGGTGCATGTGTCCTTGCTAATACTTGTGCTTATGCATACGCGATATATTTACCGTATGTACGTTTTCGCGATAATCTCGATCGAGCATCTAACGAAGTCTATCCGAACATCGATCATGTTACCGAACGAAAATTACGATACAATTAGTCTTTGTCACCCGTCACATGACCAGGCCGTTCCTCGCCGTTATTCGATCACGCGTTATATTGCAACTCGTTACACGGTCTCGGGATACATCGCCGCGCTCGCGTGTACTTGCGCGTTAATATTTTGTCCCGTAAGTACGATGTATCTACCGTGTGTACGTTTTCGCGGTAATCTCGATCGAGCATCTAACGAGATCGCTGTCAACAACGATCACGGTACCAAACGAAAATTACGACATAATCGGATACCGTTATCGTGTCCTGTCTGATCAATTAATACGCTTCTGAATCGACGCTTGGACTGGTTGGTTAGTTAGTTGGTCGCGTATCGGTGAAGCCGCAACGGTTTGTGCATATGGCACATGGTGTCGCAGATGCGTTCTGCTTTCGATTACATATGAGAGCAGAGCGAGGTCCGAGGGGGAGGAGAAAAGTACACGGCTCGCGTACGTTTGCGCGTGAAATATTGCCCGGTAAACTATACGCGCGAATTTCTTCTTACGCTCTCCCGTCCTCGAGCATCGTCGATAACGAGTTCACTTTTGTTTCGATACGTTTATAGAAGGACATCTTGCTGTGTTTCAAGTAGTCAAAGTACAAAGAAGTTACAACTCGAAAGTCTGCTTACCTAACCTTGAACATGACTCTTTGTTTATTTCATTAAAAAGCGAGTGAATGGCTTGCGAATGGATGTTGCGTGTATTATATGTCACATACGTATAGTGCCGTTGAGGAAGAAAATACTTGACATTTAATTAAACGGAATATAGTTGATTGGAAAGTTTTGAAGTTGCAATTTATTTTGTAGCTAGAACGTCATGACAACAGTTATACCGAGGCACTTCAGGTTTTATACATGTAATGAAAATATAATCGAGTTAGAAGCGACGCGACCTTTAGTCGGTCTTTCAGCAGTTTATTAAATTGAAATTTTAGTCGAAGCTCGATGAATTAGATTTTTCAATTTCGATGAAAACGTCACGAGAACTTTTGCGTGTCTTTGTTCGCGAAACGCTTCGTGTCTGGTACCGGTCGTTCGCGGTTCGACCTAACAACAATATTCTATAGCCGAGAAGCGACTGTCGGTCAGGTAATTCAATCGCGTCGCTCGCTTATTGTTGATAATCGAACGCGTAGAATATGCTGCGACATATCTGCGTTCTTTTATTCAGCCACTGAATCTGTTTCAGTTTCGTAGCTCCCGTTTTTGCGAATATTTCTACCGACAATATAACTTTTTTTTTTATCAATCGCGAATGGTACCGACATTGTCGTAGTAATTTGAAAATTTGTTACAAACAAAAAGTATAATTAGAAAGCAAATTTCGTTTACTCTGATCCGTAACACAAGATTATTTTGTACGGTTCTAACACTGCGAAAAAGTTACATCGTTATCGTAATAGGGTTTGACAGACCCCACAATTACTTTCTTAGTCTATTGCTATAAACCTTGGATATAAATAACATGTACAGGCATCGACAGTAGGGGTCAGAATGGATCTGAGATCCCCCTAAAGCGTGGACCGGTCCTTCGGCACTCGAAACGATCGCGGTTAAAAGAGAAATACATTCGTCCACTTGTAAAACGTTAATAAAAACTGTTTTTATTCTTGCGAAATTATCATTAAAAGTGATAGTATAATGAAATCGAGTTACGCTAGATATTTGACATTTTTAGATAATCGATTTGACCCAAGGTCTTGCCGCGCCAACTTATAGCAACGGTATTCATTTTGGAAATTTCCTTGGGTGTCAGAGAGGTCGATACGACTATCGAGAGACACGCGAATAATCGATACATAACGCTTTTCCACGCATGTTAAATTCCTTGGAGCGACTAGCCGAAGTATCCAGGTCTCATGGCCGGGGCTCATTGTCATGTAAATGATTTTTGCGCAATCACGAAGGAGCCGAGCGAAGACGTTGGACCTACGTGCACGTGCATGGGAAAAAGGTTCCGGAATGTCCACGCGCTTACAACCCTTTCTCCTCGTATTTGGATTTTCACTTTCGTTTCTTCGCCACTTTCGTTCTCCTATCTTCGCTTCGCCTTATTTTATGCTTGAATAGCGAGAAAAGCGCCTCGACATTTCCTATTCCGAAGGCTTTCATGCCGCTTTATGAAAGTTATCTTAAGCACGCCTCAAGTTATCTTAAGGACGCTCGTTTTAAGTCCGACTAACGCGTTAGCTTCTCTTTTGTTACGCGATATTTCATTTACGCGTGGCCCAGTTTCGTATAATACCTAGATATATTGCCAGTCACTCTATCGGCTCACGTTATATTGCCACGAGAGTAAATCGTTAAAGCGAGATTTAAATTAGCTTTCAATGATCGACCTTCGATCGACGATGTTTCTTTTCGATATTTGTTAGAAAGAATGATCTTTTATTCCGGAAAGTTCTTTAAATAATTGATATTTGACTTTGAGCCGAGCTAAAACGATGCACATGGTTCGCAATCAACGTGAAAGTCATTTAAACAAAAATAGTGGTCTGTAAATAGGCTGTCTCCTAAATACCATCGAACAATGATTGGCGCGATCGTCGTCCGCGGATCAGCAGCGTCACCGTTACTATTTCGGTGTAACGGTGGCATGGGAAAAATAATG